CCGCCCCCTGAAAACACATCTCCAGTCGGCGGCTGTTACCACAGTCACGAGTATGACATTGTTGGCGTTCAGAGGATCATCATTTCTTGAAACTGGTGATTTTTAAAACAAATTAAACAAACAAAAAAAGAAATTTGCAAACCAACAGCTGGCCCCCCCCCCCCTTACCCCCGAAAAAAAATTATTCCATTTATCACATGTTTACGCAATGTTCAATCTATCAATCATTCCTCCGGCGTCAGTCTGGAAAATATTTGGCCCATCAAATGATGAGGCCCTAACGAGTCAGCCTAACGTCTCCTTTGATGCTTGTCCGCCACGCGATGTCTCGTCACTGGCAGACATCGTGCACCACTCACCTAAGCTCTCTCTATAATTACTGTGTGCTTGGACAACTTTATGGGGTCACGTATTCTATCCCAGCAACAAACAGGCAGAAAAAACGGTGTATGCCAGTCTGCATGATAGGAGAACTTCCAACACATTTTTACGGCTTAGAGATGATTTTTTTTTTTTAAGTAAGAAAATTAATTATGTCTAAAAACGTTCTGTATGTAGGTGAGAAGAAAAGAAACGATATGTGAAGGGTGCTGAGCTGACAAAAAGAGTTACTTCTTGGATTCGTGCTTGTTGGAAATCGCTACATCACGTTTATAGGTGAAGTTTTTACAATGTATGAGTATGAAATAATATAAGGCTTGTTATACTTAACCAATATGACATCAATGGAGAATCCACAAATTTGAACCTAGCGTCGATTTTCGCCAATATCTCCTTTTGTGGATTGTGAGAAGTAACTCATTTTGTCAGCACGTCTCACATATATGGGAATTAAGACTAGGGAACACTGGGGTTCTTGAATATTGCAAATGCCTTCTTTTTGTTAGAGCGTTTGAGCAAAAGAAAATCACATGGAAACAATGATGGTTATTTCTCCCGGGGAAAAGTAAAACAGACACACAGAAGGGGGCTCTCTTGGCCTAGAGGTTAAGGTGTTGGCCTCTCATTCAAAGGTCCCGGGTTCGATTCCGGTTAGCGACCAAAAAATGTTCTTCTCTAAAATTGTCCCCTTTCACCTCCTTTCCTGCTCTCTGGCAATGTTCTGTTGTCTGCTTTCATTTCCACTTTCTGCCCCCATCCCCTCCCCTCATTTGCCCCCTCCTCTGGGCTCCTGACTCTTTCTGCAGCCTTTCTACTGTTACTCCTTGGCTCCTCCTAACTGCTGTCTTTCTGCCACACCCCTGATCTTCTGGTAGGAAAGATCTACACCTAGCCTTCTCGGACAAGGGCGAAAAATCTCGGAGGGCCCGTGTGCAAATTGCGCACGTTAAAGATCCCTTGGTGGTCTAAAATCGATAAGAGTAGGCTTCGGCCGCCACCCGGGCAAAATTCAAAATTTCCTACCAACTGAAAATATTACGTGTGTTCGCACGCTCATATGACCTTATGCAGTTGCGAGCGCCGTAAAACACTTTACAAAAACAAACAAACAAACAAACAAGCAGAAAAACGGTGTATGCCAATCTACAAGATAGGAGAACTTCCAACAAACTTTTACGGCTTAGAGGTGATTTATTTTTAAAGTAAGAAAATTAATAATGTCTAAAAACGTTCTGTATGTAGGTGAGAAGAAAAGAAACGATATGTGAAGGGTGCTGAGCTGACAAAAAGAGTTACTTCTCGGATTCGAGCCTGTTGGAAATTGCTACATCACGCTTATAGGTGAAGTGTTTACAATGTATAAGTATGAAATAATATAAGGCTTTCTATACTTAACCAATATGACATCAATGGAGAATCCACAAATTTGAACCCAGCGTCGATTTTCGCCAATATCTCCTTTTGTGGATTGTGAGAAGTAACTCATTTTGTCAGCACGTCTCACATACATGGGAATGAAGACTAGGGAGCACTGGGGTACAGGAGTATTGCAAATGTCTTCTTTTGCTAGAGTGTTGGAGCAAAAGAAAATCCCATGGAAACAATGATGGTTATTTCGCCCGGGGAAAGGTAAACCAGACACACAGGAAAGTAAAGAAGTTGGGATCCTTTGCTGTTCTCAAATCGATAAGAGTAGGCTTCGGCCGCCACCCGGGCTCGGCCACCACCAGGGCAAAATTCAAAATTAATTCCTACCAACTTGAAAAATGTTCAATGTGTCCCGAGCGCTCACATGATTTTATGCAGTTGCAGGCGTCGTAAAACAAAAGAAAAAACAACCCCTCCCCCCAACCCCCCCCCCACCCCAAACAACATAGGGCAGGGTGCAAAACTATTTCTTTGACTTGCATTAACTGGATAGTGGGCGTCAATTGACAGTAGACTAAATAACTGTTGTTTTGTTACCAGGAAGTCGTTACTGTTATGCGGCACAGTTCTACACAAACACCAGATCTCACCTCAAGAAATGTAAAAAGGAGCTTAGAAATTATAATAGAAGTTTACTTTTATTATTTGCTCCTTTTATCAGAACGCATAAATTCTTTGTCGTGGAATTAACATGACCGTCGACAGCGGGTTAGATAACACATTAAATCTGAACAAGAATATTGATCTTTTCCATGAGTTGTCGCAGTAGATCATGATTTATCCTACTTGTGAAATTGCCAACTGCAATCACTTGTTGAAAGAACCCAAGCTTAGACTAATCAGAACATAACCTTTTACAGAGATTCAATGTTGTCAAACCACCAAAAACAAAACAAAGGAAAACAAAGCTAAACAAAACAACACAGCAGATGCCCAAGTTAAGGGGGGGGGGGGGGGGGGA